GATACCTGGCGTCCTCCGTAATAAGATAGCCTTACCTGCGTAGCTTTCGAGCTATGCGCAAGCGGATATACTTTCCCCTAATATATATGAGCCGAATCAACAAAATTAAAAATACAAATTCAAAGGAGTCCGGAGCTCCCAGAAAAGAACAGCGTTTTGGCGATAAGGCAAGCAGTAGCAAAGGGGCAGAAGGTAAGGCTGGCTCCAAAAAAGTTACAGCACCTGAGGCAGCCAGTAGCAAAAGTGCTACTGCTACTAGTACGTCAGCTCAATAATGGCCGGTCTTAGGATCGAAGACCCAGCGAAGTTGACGTATGAGGAGAAGCGACGTGCTGCATAACTGCTGAGTAAGGTAGAGCTGCAACTGCCAACAAGAACCCGCATTATCATTGCTGTGCTGGATGAGGAAGATCCCGAAGAAAAAATTCCCAGAACCCAATGGAAATGGGTGCCAGCCGCACTGACGAATGTGGCGCTGGACGTTCTGTTAAGCAATCCAGATCCGCCCCCGTCATTTACGGATGTCTGATGGTACGACGAGAGATCCGTTCAGCTATATACGGCCGTAATAGCCAAGGTAGGGGATGTCGAAGACCCCGCAGGAAATTTTGGTGTGAAGACGAAACGGGCCACATACAGACTCTCTAAACTATACACTGAGAGTGAGCTTTTGAGCGACTCTCAACAAGACGCAGAGAAGACAATAATTAATTATCCAAATTATTTGAGGAACCAAAAGAGTGAGGGGACTGTGGTCCTACCAAGCTTTTTAATTGAATGAAATGTACTGGAAAAAATTTGAATAATTGGTTTTATGGGAAGCATGTGATATGCGGACAACTATGTATTTATTTCTTTTCAGTGTCTCTTAGCTTTTTAATAAAAGGCAAGATTCCGTAATAAGAGATATCTAAAAAATCGGTTATATGGGAGATATGTTACATAGTTGTCCGAGCTGACCCATTCCGACAAATGATCAATAGAAGATCAAAATGCACTTATGTATTAATATTCATTAAGATATCTCAAAAACTGACGAAGCAATTTTTATAATTCCTAAAAGATAAACCCTGCCTTAAATCGCTACCTCGAAACCAGTTTTAGACCTGTAGTTTGTTAAGCAAAGTTGTTCAGCATGATTCGTAGATCATATACCGCTTTCGTCATTTTATAGGAAAAGATCGACCCGCTCTAATATACATATGTAATTAATGTAAGAATTTCAAACTACCGGTTGGCTTTATAACGTACATGTCGATCAATATGTAAGATATCTTGACAAAATTAAACGCACGTATGATATTGAATAGACTATATTTTAATGCCCAAAATGTGACAGTTTTACTTTCCATCTAATATAAATAGATGGACAATTTTTTGTTAAAATAAGGTTATTTAGAGCTTAATATTAATAAACTTAGTCTACACCTCTCACCACCCTTTAAACCCCACTCATCATCGGGTTAATATTTTCCTCAGATATCCCACTTTGGTTGAGTTTATATCACATATATCTCGCTTAAGTTGTATGCACGTTGAATTTTTCCGACGGATGTTTTCGCGCAAACGCCTCAAAACGCTCACATAATACTCTTTATTGACCGTCTGTCCCGTTAGAACGAATTCATTATGAACCAAACCTCGAATATCGAAAAAAAACAATGTCCGGAAACTTTCTTGTTTCATACAACATGTTGCTACAGAGTATAATGAACGATTTTAGGACCAAAAACTCGTTCAATACCGCCGATTAACCACCGTATTCGCCGGGTTTGGCCCCATGCGACTTTTTTTGTTTCCAAAACTCAAGTTACCACTCTGTGGAGCCAGTTTTGACTCGATTGAGCTCGTAGAAGAAAATTCGCAGAGGAAACTGAAGGTTTTTCTTTTTATTTACTATTTCGGGAAACTTTTTGGTCTTAATGTATGTTTGTTCACACAATTAGCACAACTAACAAAATATGTATATAAACAACAAAGTTGCCACAGCTAGCAAAATATACAAGAACGAATTCTACAACTCTTATAATTTCATATAAATATTCAATAAAACTCGTATTTAATTGTAATAGGAGTATTATAAAAACCTGCAATTTGAAACAAGCTAAGATTATGAGCAAGAGGATAAATGAATTAGAAACCAAGATTGGTCCCCACAGCGAAAGCGCTAATCCAAATACCTTTGTTCACTTCACAGAAGCAGACCAAGTCGAAATGAGTAGATTACCTGATAGTATGAAGAATCTCCCGACATTCAAAGAAGACACGATCCAATTCATCTCTTAGATCCACAAAGTCGAATCTGTTTTACTAGACTACGAAGAAGTAAGAACGAAGCCACTTTATAAAGCCAGCTTACGGCATATTAGGCAAAAAGTGAAAGGTCCTGCGGATATGGCCTTAATTTCATATAATATATTTTATGACGACTGGGGAGCAATCAAGAACTGTTTGTGACTGCAGTATGCAGGCAAACGTGACTTTGAAGTTTGAACTGGGATCTTTATCTCCAAAACACTTTAGCGTAAAATAGTTCTACTCAAGAATTAATCACCAATTATCGCTTATAATCAACAAAATAAAGGGGTAGGACTATTCCAACGAAACAAGTAATATGCTACTGGAAACTAATAGAAACAGGGCCCTTGAAGAATTCATCAGAGACGCAAACAGTGAATTGTCTAGGATGCTAGTCATCCTACGACACAAGAACCTACCCGAAACATATGCTTCCTGTGTCGAAATACAAAACTTTACCTTAGAAACTATTCAATCTATCTAAGGAATAAAGGTAGCTCACGAAACAAAAACAAATATTTGTACCAAGGGAAATAAATGCTGTCGAAAAAATATAATTTATAATATTATAATAAATTTTATGACAGACGGCTGTCTAGATAAATAAATATCTGAAAGTCTTCCGTCCAAACTCTTACAGTGGGACAATCGACACAACCGTATTAGCAAAAATAAGAACAACAAGTGAAGAACCGAGCTATTCAAAACCCTGCCAGTCAGAAAAACCTCAAATAGTCTGTATAACTCCCTATTGTGTATTGTTTAAAAAAACACAGGTCCATCAATGGAAAACAAGTATGGAGTTGTCGTCGATTTTAAACGACTAAATATAACAATACCTGACTCCTACCTAATAACTGATATAAACAACACTTTCGCTATCTTAGGCGAATGTAAGTCTTTTACTACACTCGAACTTACATCCGGATTCTACCAAATGAGAATGAAGGAAAGGGACATAGAAAATACAGTCTTTTCACTGCCACTGGTAAATACTAATCTACTAGGTTGCCGTTCGGCCTTAAAAATTAATGAAAATCATCTAGGTTTTCTTAGTGAAACTTATAGAGCATCCTTTTCTGGAAATAATATATCGTAATGCCAAAAAGTATTTAAAATGAGTCAATACTCTTCCTAGCCTTTTTATACCCAATATAACGATTTGAAACTTTCGGTTGCCTTTATACCATATATATTAGTCAATATGTATGATAAGATATCAAAATTAAGCGAACGTTAATGTTCAACCGATTATAGTTTAATGCAAAAAATGGGTAAAATAGATAAACGAATTACTCCAGATAATACATACTATGTACATGTGATGAGTTACGTTGATTTAGCAGAATCTTTATAAAATGGGGTGGGAACATGTTTCTGAATATACTTGAGTAATGTCACAAGTTAAAGCAAGCAGTCCAGAGCTTCTGCTATCCCAAATATACCGATTTCCGACTCTCCATCTGAGTTTAATTCGTTTATGTTTGTCAATATAACAATGCATTAAATTCAGTCTCTTTGTTTGAGTTTATATCACATATATCTCATTTAAGTTAGTAATGTTGATTTTACCCACATATGCTGGTTAAGTGAGTCTACCACCTAAAATATTATTTAATAAGATACCAAGCATGACTCTAATCATGTAAATTAATGTTGAATTCTTTCGTTAGATTCCTTAATATAAAGTATTGCTAACGCCTGAAGGTAATTCCCCGGCTTAGATTTTTGCGAGAGAATAAAAATTCCGAACTTAGCCCTTCCTTACTTTTTTGAAATAGTTATTTATTCGTTTATAACGATTGTATATCTATGTTATGAGATGTGGTTTGCTGTGTCATAATTTTCAAATTTTGAAACAATCTTCAAATTTTAATGAATTTTTATACATTTTATACATTTTTTCATTCATAAATCATATTTTTAATCTTTTGAGCAGCTTACTATAATATAATTTATTTATACCTTAGCCACAGGAAAGCTTGGTCGGAGACTTCTGTTAGAGTTACAGATATTATCAGGACGACGAAACGACGTCTGTCCGTTCAGACGTCTCTCCGTCCATGCAAGCGATCACTAATTTAGAATCCGATCTTTTAAGTTGGATTAAACTGGACACAGTATGCTGAATTTGTCCAAAATCGGTTCAGTAGGTTAGAAATTTACCTTGGACAAACAACGTGACAAATAATTTGTATATGTTTTTGTATACATATAAATGTTATAACCGTGAACTTTGCCGTGTGCTTTGTTTTGGAACTCATTGATGGTTAATAACACGAAGAAATTTTAAATACGAGGTGTGTTCAAATTAACAGGAATTTTCGTTTTTAAAAAAATATTTATTTATTTGTCTACATTATTGTTGTCGCTTTCAAAATAGTCCCTATTCGATATTATGCACGTATTCCAGCGCTTCATCCAATCGTCGAAACACTTCTCAAACTCGCTTTTCGGATTTGCTTTAGCTCTTTCAGCGATGCGCTTCTAATGTCATCTATACTTATAAAACGTCAGCCCTTAAAGGTTGTCTTTATTTTTGTAAATGTAAAATAATTTAGACACTGTTTAATTAAAAACTAAATAGCTTGTTTACGTTCGATATTTTTTTAGATATAAAACTGATACTTTAGGGGTCGTTTGTCCCTAAAAATAAACTTATAAAGAATTAAGTTCAGTTCATACAATTTTAAATTACTTACTTTCCTTTCTCACATATACTTGTTGAACGTCCAAGAAGCTGTGTCAAAGCTTCATAGTCAAGTTGCTTAATTGTATGCAGGAAATTAGTGAAGACACCTAAAAAATTTCGTTTAATATATGGGAATCCACGAATACACATTTCCTTTAGCAGATCCCGTGCTAATTTAATTTCAGTAGGGGTTGGCTTTGTAGAAGGAGTGTGGTCAAAAAGCAGTGTTGAACGTCGTTCCACAATGTTATCCTCTAGCAATATAGCAAAAATTAATGCAACAATTATTAACAAAAATTATTTTGCTTACGCTCAATTAAGAAATCTCCTTTGTTGTAGTTTTCTTCCCCTTGCAGTACAAGCCGAGACTCTACTCTGGTAATAGCACCAGTGTGATTGTTTGAAAAAATAACTAGTTGATGCTGTTCACGACAAATAATTTCATCATACATATTATTGTTGATTACCATCTGTAAGAAATGTGCATTTTACTCTTAAAGTTTTGACAATTCTCATGCGGGAAATAGTAAGATGTAATTGATTATGAATTATGATTGATAAATAACATGTAGGCATGTACATATGTCTATATATCCAAAGAAATACTTTATCCGGTTCCGTAGGTTCGTTCGTCTGTGCAAGCTGTAACTTGAGTAAAAATTGAGATATCGTAACGAACGCCATTAAAGGAAAACCTCTAAAGTGCCATAACTAAGTACCAAACTAAGACACAAAACAGTAATTTGGCACAGGGTCTCGAGTAGCAAATGGCATCTGTGGACTAAAAAGTTTGAAAAAATGGACTTGGCCCCGCCCTCTAAGAGGTTAAATGCACATATCTCCCAAACAACTTCAGATACAATCACCAAATTCATTCAGGACGAATCCCTTAAGCAGCCCTACCGACACTGTTTAAAGGTAGGAAATCGGAAGATAACCCTGCCCATCCCCAATATAACAGTTCTGTTAAAAACTACTAAAAGCGTGATAAATCAATAAATCAATACGACAAAGATATTAAATTTAACATCCCAGATGGTACGAAAGACTTTCCAGGATTCAGAATTAAAATAGGACGATGGGCGTGGCACCGCACCGCACATCTCAGGCCTACTTATCAAAAATCAACCAAATTTGGCATGTGATATTATCTTGATGTTCTTATGTTTCAGTGTACAAATGACACAATTTTAAATTTCATCAGATTCTTTTATATTCCAGAATTCAAATAAACCAAAAGTATATGCATTGGGATAAAACTTTGCCCGAATAGTGCGCTTAAAGTAGGCCACCTTATGACCAATAACTGTCAAAATCGGGCAAAAATAGGTCAAGCCCCCAAACCGAATATGTGGACCCCAGTTTCTACAGCGAATATTTTATCGAAAATATCGGTCAATCTGTGAGATATGTTATTGAAATTCCGAGCCAAAAAAGGGTTGAATCGGATGAAATCTTACCCGCCATACACCTAATACAAAGATTATCGAACTTCCAGTTTGCTTTATATCTTATACTTGTATATCGGCCAATATGTGAGTTATTTTAATGAAAACGAGAGAGCGTATTTTACTAGTATCAGAGAATGTAAATGAATAGAGAATGAGCACATGTTAAATGAAATCTTTTTGAGTACTAATTTGTAGTTCCAGATGAGGGAACATCGAAAAATATAACTTCGAAAAAGAAAAATACACCACGCAATGTGCGAAATGCTATAAATAGACACAACGAATATTCCTATATGAAAAATCGTTGCGCATACCTATTTAGATTTATGTTTTCAATTTCTATAATATGACAAACTTATAATTATGAAAAGCCTTCTGAATTAAAAATCTGTATTATCGGTAAAAGCCCCAGAATTCATAATAAAATAAACATTTAATAGGCAATTTTTCCAACTTATGTTTGTGCGTTGCGTGAGCAATTGGTTATTGAGCAAAGGATAACAATAAAACGATGGCTAAGCGGCCGCGTTTCCACTTTTGTGGTGGCTCGTAAGCGGGAAGGGGTTAAGCACAATCCGAATACGAGCACATAAGTTCAAATCTTAAACAAAACTCATGTAAATTAAATTTATTTTAATGTTTTTGGAGTCTCAGCATATCACAATTCAATTACATTAATAGCATATTTTACTTCCTGAGATAATTAAAATATTTCAGTAAAATATGTTCATATGTTTGGGTTTATTGCATATTCCCTTATTATGCGTATTTACACAAATGTGATAATCACACATACATTCATAAGTACACGTACGCTGATGCTTGCTTCTTCTTGCCCCGCACAAGCAATGACTTTTGTCAGCACTTTCTGCTTTTTGCGAGAAGCAAGTTGAACGGACACAAGCAGGAAGGGGTCAGGGGCGCCACATAATTATATCAGATATATATTTTATTTATCGAATTTATTTTAAAAACGATTATAGGTATGAATTTATTGGTATTTATATTTTTACGTGTCTATTAATTATATTACGTCAATAAGTCATTAATGCATTAGTATTTTTCAGTACAAATTAAGCAACATATTAATATAGGTATTATGAGCCCTCACTTGACACGCCTCTGTGCATGGTGGCAAGCCAACGAAATAACGGCGAGTTCGCGCGGACATTGTGTTATTGAAAAAAACCAAATGACGACTTTGTCGACAAACATACATATATACATATGAGCTCGCATACATATTAACGCCGAATTTTACGCATCGTGGCGGAGTTGACAAAATTTGTTTCAATGGACAATTTTGCGACAATGTCGATCGGCTATGTTGTCTCGTTTGTCCTTTTTGCAGGGCTTTGCAGGTAATGGATGGTAGGATTTTCAGCGGTCCAAATTGTAATATTGAAATTTTGGTGATCTTCAATTTTACCACATACTTCATTTAAATTAATTTTTGTTTGTATCCTCCGCATTTGCGTAGGAATTCTATATGAAAACCAAATGTGGTTTACCAGGCGCACAGAAAAAATAGACCGGCGCAGAGTTATGAATGAACGCACTTTGCTTTGAAGCAGACGCACGTTCTTTATGAATGAATTTGTTGTCGTTGTAATATGAAATACTTAGAAAATAAGCCGCGAGTTCCCTTGAATATTATTGGCCGATGATGGTGCGTGTACGTTTTTTTGTCACTTGCGCGAATGTTTGATTTTTTGCGTAAGACATATTGAGGGACATACATATGTACATATGTGTACATATATGCAAATATATTTGGACATGCGAATGAAGGAAGGCAATTTCAATAATATTTACATATAGACATATGAACATTGAAGCAAATAAACAACAATAGCTGTTTGAGTTCGCAGATTAGACAACTTGGTTTGATTTTTGTCTGTGGTGCTGCTTGTATAGCAAACTTGTTTATTGCAACGTGAAATATTTTGCCTAAGTTCAAATCCTATCAGATATTTTTTTATACTATTTTTTTTTTTTATAATCCTTTTTTATTAAATGATATTTTTTAATTCTATTTTCATATTATTTCCCTCATTATTTATATTTTCTTGTCGGAAGTCAATTAGTCAATTACTTTCGTTTTTATTATTTCAATTTTTGTTTATGCGCATATCAAAGAACATCTGTGCATATATGTATATGTGTATACATTTTGCTTATAGAGTGGTGTAGTTCGTTGCGTACCCTGATAGGTGTGGTGACATTTTATTTTCGAACTTGCGGGTTTTCGATGTTCCTTCATCGTAATTAACATTTTAGAACAGCTAACATTTGCTCCTTCTCTATTCATTTACGTTCTCTGCTTTTATTGAACTATTATTTATTATTATTTTTAAATTATTTTATGTTAATTCATTTTTACTTTCTTGTGAGTTATTAATAATAATTTAAACATATTTTGATATATTTCTTAAAATAATTCAAGTGCTTGACACCATTATGGAGTCATAAAAGTACAGAATTGTGTTTTGCCGTCGGCATTTTCATATCATGTGTAAAAATATTTGTAAATTTGTCTACAAACAACATATGTATCTAGATATGAACATTCATTACTTCATGTGAAATCTCCGTTGACACGGTCAACCAATGATCGAAGCTCAAGTTCTTTGCTTTTATGTCAAAGAGTCAATCTGTCGAAGGACTGACGCGACGACAAAGCGTCACAACATTGTGTTGTTGGTAGAAAATCCCAGACGTGCCGAAAAATAAACGAACTCTCGCCGATTGTCGCCGCTTCCCTTGCCGCTCAAACAGCTTTGCCCTCAAATCATTGTAAATATGTATTTTTATATAATATATGAGCATGCATACATATTGACGCAGATTTTTGCGAGTCCCGGAAAAATATTTTAGAATTGTGAAATATGTATTTTAAATCGACAAGAGCTTTGTTGCCACTTTTGTCACTTTTTTCTGTGTTTTCTGTGTTTGCAGGGTTGTCACTTTTCCCTTCTAGAGGGAACATCAGAAGGATGTTCAATTTATAATTTCTAGCTTTTGCCATCGTCGCGAAAAGACGCTTGTGGGCTAACGCATGCTCGGGGAGATGTGTAAGGCGTTTACTTTTATGAATGAAACGACTTAGCTTATGGATTGTACGCCAGCGTTCATGAATGAAAATGTTGTTGGTGTGTGATTTACTACAAATTCAGGATTTGTCAATTTGGCTGCCATATTGATTTCTGGTGCTGATGCTATTTGAGACAATTGTTGTTTTTGTACAACAATGTTTGTATTTTGCCTATTGGCTGACGTACTTACATTTGTACGCTTAAATGTATGTGGATATGTGTATGCATTACTTATTTTGCGCGGTCATACGCATATTTGTACATACATACTTACATATAGGGCAGTGCGCTCACATGTTTTTATTGATAATTGATAATATATTATTACAAGTATATTATATAATATAACATATTGATGTACATACATATGTACATACATAAATTATTAAATCTGTAACAACTGAAATTAGAAAATTATGAAAATAGTAAAATATCATTTCTTGCATAATCTTTCACATTTTATCAATGTAGCATTTGTGCAAAAAAATCATATTTTATCAATTTTTCATCGTAAAAATCGTTTATATGGCAAAAAATAATCATGCATATGTGAAGTGGAATTTGTATTTTTTGTTTTCACATTCATTTCATTTCATTTTTTTCTTTGTGTTGGGAGATAAGTAATTTGTCAGAGAACGCTGTTATAAATTCTCATTTCTGTTAAATAACAGCAAATATTACAAAAAATGGTGAACTCCTTGATCTCAAATTTTCAGCCAACCAATCGAGCATCATACAAAATTCACTTTGCACCTTCTCGTTCATTTAAGTTCTCTGATTGGCATATATTACTATTTAAATATATTAAGATTTTTAAGATATTATGTTAGTATGTTATATACGTATGTATGTATGTATGTAGTAAAACATAGCAGATACATATACATATATACATATGTACTTATATGAAATCATTTCATATTA